TATTTAGCGAGTTCTAACGACAGAATGTTTTTAATTGTGAAAAGACAGAAATTGCGTTAAATCTAAGGTTCTGTCGTTGGGATACTTAAGTCGCGGTGTCAAATGATGAAATAAGTAGTATGATTTCACTTAACAAATTTAGAAAAAAATTCACTGCGAAAAATTCGAGCTTTAATTTTTTTTATTACAAAAAAGCCTCAATTAAGACTAACGTTACGTTGCTATGGCGACCCGTCATGTGATATTTTTTTGTAAAAACTGAAACCTTGATTTACTAATATTAGTACAATGCGCAAAAAAGGGTCAAAACATACTTTGTTTTTTTTAAATACAGCAATATGTAACATGTACCTCAAAAGCCTTTTAACTATATGGAGCTACCTTAAGCAAGAGTAGCTGCGTATTAAAACAAGTAGAGGTTTGAGCATTTTATAGTGAAGTCAAATGACTTTTTTGCTCATAACTAAGGTTCAACGGTGTTTGAATTTAAACATTCCTACCTTGCTACCTCGTTTGAATATCTGCTTATCGTGCGGACACACGATGGGACATCGCCTTAGACGTTGCACGAAAAAGGCGAAGTTTTCTGGGGGATGGAGGGGTGGGGGTGCCTTACGAGGTGATGTTGCATGCAACGTCACAGAAGTAGAAATTACTTTTTCAGGGATGTTGGCACCGTCGCGTGCAATACACTCCGCACCGTCTGTCCGCACCTAGACATTAGTGGTTATCGCTGTGCTATTCTTTCGTCATTCTAACCTTCGTATAGAAACCGCAAAATCTAGCAAAACATTTCGTGAATCGCTTTTTCCAATATATTTAGAGGATATTTGTTAGTACTTATTCTGGTCAAGAGAATGGATGGGTGACTTCGAGAGACGGCCATGTTCAGGTTGATTTAACACTGAATAGAGCCATGGCAATTCACTCGTTAAAACAGACACATCTTTAAATTTAAAAGGTATCTAGATGATATTTTTTAGTTGATAGTTGGTTTGCATTCGGTCCCAAGAAAATGAAATAAGAAAGGACATTGCAGCCAGTGTTGGTTAACATAACAGATAAGTCACCAATAACCGGCTATTTCTTTCATTTCAAAGAAAACGACCAAGAAAAACAGCAATTGGTCGATAACAAATTATTGTATAAGGCTTGCCTCGCCTCGATTTGTATGATGACAACATAATTTTTCCAGCAACATACGCTTCAAAGTACTGACGAATTCATACATTTTTCCAAGAAAATTTGCTTGATGCAACACATTCACATCTTCAAGAAGTCATGGATACTTTTTGTTTAATTACAACTATAAGGCTCGACCGAGTTTTCTGAACTATTTCGTGGTTTTATCATAGACATAAAGGCCCTTCTGTAATCTTGATTTCGTCGCGTATAAATAAAGAAGTTCACCACAGCGTTGACATGAAGAATCCATATGGCGGTGGTATATGCCGTTGATGGTAAAATGATATTGAAGACACGTATGACCCTCGTAACTAGGTAGGGTAGCCACGCGATGAGAAACAACAGGATGACTAACAGGATAGCTGAGGTGGCTTTGGATTCGCGTACTGTGAAACAAAATAATTAAACAAGTTTCAGTAAAACGCAGCAAAGAAAGAAAGAAGGTACAAAGAAGACAGGAAGGAAGAAGGAAGGAAGGAAGGAAGGAAGGAAGGAAGGAAGGAAAATCGAGTTTAATTATCGTGGTTTTTTTAATCGATCTAGTTAAGGAAAAGACAAATTACAAATTTGGCCTGCTATATACTTCTGTCTAAGATAACCATTTATTTTATTTTCTTTTGCTTTCATTGCGCTGCTGAAGGACGGCTTTTTAAGATCGATCTAGTTAATTTTCTCAATTTTATCCTCTTAAAAGACGAGCCACCATGGTTACATGAATCGGTGCACACATATGATCTATTGACTGGTAATAGGCGCAAGCTTGAATCGTTATTTGTACGCATGCAGTTATAGTTTGTAATTGTGAAAACCAATGAGGGATGTTTTTAAGTGGAAGCTTGTTTTTAAGTGACAACGGTTTTCTTCCTTCCTTCCTTCCTTCCTTCCTTCCTTCCTTCCTTCCTTCCTTCATTCTTCAGTTTCTTCTTATTTCATATATTTCTTTTTTTTTCTTTTGCGTTTATTTTTTATTATTTACTTATTTATTTTATGTCAGTTTTTCATTTCATTTGAGAAGAGTAATTACCCATCTGTGACTACAAAAATAGGCTGCATGACGTGAACATTATCTACATAAAAGTTATATATCCCGCAGAGGAATAATAATAATGTATTCCCTCTGCGGGATACATAACTATTATGTAGATAATGTTTACGTCAACCTATCTTTGTATAGATATGGGTAGTCTTCTTCAATGAAATGAAAGTTTACCATAGAGTACAGAAGAGAGCATAGATAACATTTCCGTAAAATTGATTTCTTCCTTCATGTCAGTTTTCTGTTCTTGACGTACTGCGAGGTCACAGGTGACAAGCCGTAGTATAGTAAAACTTCCACACTTTGAAATCATTGATATTGATTATAATATGGCTGTTTTCAATACGTGACATGACGCTCAGTCTTGAATATTTCTCGATCTTTTTCCATCCACCTGTATGCAGTTTTCTATCTATATTTTAGCCGTTCATCTTCGTGAATGATGAATAATTAGTATAAGTCCGAGTCAAGCTTTGCCCTAAGATGCAACCATGGCAACGATGGATGGCGTTTGTCCACCTGCCAGTTTTGTAAATATTAAGCTCGCTAAACTTACTCTGGTAAATTAAAAAAAGTATTTTCCTTTTGTGTGTGTGTGTGTTTTTGTGTGTGTGTGTGTGCGTGTGTGTGTGTGTGTGTGGTTGGGTGTGTGTGTGGGTGGGTGTGTGTGTGTGTGTTTGTTGTTGTTGTTGTTTTTTTGTTTTGTTTTGTTTTGTTTGTGTGTGTGTGTGTGTGTGTGTGTGTGTGTGTGTGTTTGTGTGTGTGTGTGTGTATTTTGGGGGATTGAGAGTAGTTAGAGGGAGGAAGGAAAGGAAAGGAAAGGAAAGGAAAGAAAAGGAAAGAGGAAAA